GCCAAATTTCTTGCCAAACAACTACAACCCTATGCAGAATCCATCAACTCACACGTAAGAAACTCATTCCAGTTCATCGAGATCATAAAGAAACAAAACTTACAACCTAGCGACCTACTAGTAAGCTTCGATGTCATATCCCTCTTCACCCAAGTGCCAATAAAAGAAGCCTTGACAGCCATCCAAAACAAATACAACCCCCCCGAGCACATCCTAGATCTAACCAACCACTGCCTATCCAATACTTACTTCACCTACAATGGACAAAAATACAAACAAATAGAAGGAGCACCCATGGGATCACCCCTCTCACCTGTCATCGCAAACCTCTACATGGAACACTTTGAAACACAAGCTCTAGAAAAATACGACCACAAACCCAAACTCTGGCTCAGATACGTAGATGACACCTTCATAATCTGGCCACACGGGAAAGAAAAACTGAACAACTTCCTCACATACCTCAACAGCCTACACCCCAAAATACAATTCACCATGGAAACAGAAGCCAACAATCAACTTCCCTTCCTAGATGTCTTGGTATACAAAAGATCCAATGGCTCCCTAGGACACACCATCTACCAGAAGAAAACACATACTAACCGCTATCTACATGCACTCTCACACCACCACCCAGCACAGATCAATTCCGTAGCCAAGACACTCATCTCCAGAACAAAATGCTTAGCCGATGAACAACACCAAAAAACCGAACTACACACTCTCACCAACGTACTTGCAGCCAATGGATTCCAAAGAAAGAAGATTACCCACCTAATCCAAAAAGAAACCCCAACCAAAATCCAAGACAGAGAACAAGAAAACGGCAAAGCCCTCCTCCCATATATAAAAGGCACTACAGACAAAATTAGCAAGATCCTCCAAAAACACAACATCAAAACAGCATTCTGCACAAACAGAAAAATATCCACCATCCTAAGAAACCCCAAAGACAAAATCGAATTAGAAAACCAAGGAGTATACGAAATCCCCTGCACTGCCTGCCCTACCACATACATTGGACAAACTAACAGAAGAATAAGTGCACGCATTGAAGAACATAAGAACTCAATCAAAAAAGAAGAAACGACCTCTTCCCTGGTCCAACACCTCAAAGCCACAGGACATGAAATTGATTTTAAAAATACCAGAACTATCGCCAACACTTCAACAGCAGAATAATCAGAGAAGCCATAGAGATAGAAAACGCCCACACAGCATGAACAAACGAGATGACACCTCCCGCCTTCCAGCCATTTGGAAACCCGCCCTCATGAACAGACGAGTACCTAACATGAAGAAGGACACCGGACCCACACCCATGAGAGCCACACAAGATGCCACCACCACACTTCCATGTAGAAAACAGACTCCCACCCATTCAGAAAATGAGAAACGACCATGGACCAGAAGCTGCACTGCAGCTGCATCACTACCCACTTCAAACCCCTCTGAGCCATACATGAAGCAAACCGACACCCACTATGAAGATGCAGCAGGACCACGAACTAGAAGCCAAACAGCAAGATCACAACTCTCCAGCTCAAATCCCCCAGCAACTAAGACTAACCTGAGCACAACCAAGCCCCCACCTGAACAGAACACGCCTCCAACCAATCAGAACACAGCTAACCCCCCAACCAATCAGAACATAGCCAAACCCCCTACCAATGAGAACACACCCCCACCCAATCAGAACACAGCCAAGCCCCCACCCAATCAAGTCCCACCCCCACTGGCAGTTAAAAGGAGGAAGCAGCTGCAATCTCCATTACTCTGAGAAGCACAGAGCCGGAGACAGAAGCCTGAAGATGATGAATGAGACTTCATCGAAACGTTGCCTAGATACTTCGAATCTTACGCGGGAGAAAACCCGAACAACCAAAGATCCACATACAAATACCCGCGAGAACCTCAGAAAATATCTATATCTATATCTATATCTATATCTATATCTATATATATATATATATATATTGATTGGTACTAATCAGTTAAAGATCAAAGAGAACATTTGTACAAAACATACTATAACATTACATTTTTAATCCCACCAAACATAACCCCACCAAAAATACCCTAAATCCTAAGACAAACCTGCAAATGAGTATGTTTCATTAAAAAGAATCAATGGAGAAGAATCAGAATAATTTCACAATTATACTTGCCAGATATAGTAAGGGTGATCTCTTGAGGGGTTCCTGATGAATTGGTAGTGGTTGAACTAGAAGCATGAGTTAAAACATGACTCAGAGCAGAACTATTTATTGTCAGCGTAATCTCATGTTGACCATTGGCAGTTGATACCATTCCCTGTGAAGTCATAACTTGAGAGAGATCCTGTGAACCTGAACATAAGTAAAATAAACTAAATAAAAGTAGTCAGGCTTTACATTAGTCATATGTAATGTTATAACAGTGTTGGACATAAAACTGTAAAAAAATGTAAGAGAGCTGGCTTTGATATATATCACACATGAATGGTTGCCATATAGATAATCCAAAAATTGGAATCACAATCACAAAACAGCTGGTCTATCTGGGTTAGATCTGAAGGAGTGAGAAGGTTGTTTGTGATTCTTGGGACTAATCTGAAGAATTTTCTTCCAGACTCCTGCAAGTGATTATTTGTACAATCATCCTCAATGAGGAATCAAATCTTTGGTTTTTCCAAAAGTATTAAGCAATCATAATTTATATTATTTAAGTAATTAAAAGATAGAAAAATATCCCTCAGTTCAGAACTCAGAAATAGGCCAGCTCTTTCTCAGGAGGATCACAAATGATTTCAGGGTGATATTGCTAAGAGAAGTGAATTAAATTTCTGGCCTGTGAGCATAAGATGGCCCTGTCTTGATCTATTTTAGAAAATTTTATTATTAGAAATACGTGTTTTATCAGATTATAGTGGTATGATTATAAAATAGGAAAATAAGAGTTTAGATAATTTTAATCAAAAAGCTTTTCAGATTAATTTGCTTTTCTACTATATTTACCTGAAGTAGTTGTAGCCAATACAGATTCTTGCTCAGCCAGTGCCATATTTGCTGAAGAAGTAACATTGGGCTGTAAGGACAAGCTTGACAAAGGCTGTATTACCACATTTGCTGCTGACACTGTACTTTCTGCTGTCTGTAGGGAGGAGTTCTGAGATGCCAAACTGGGATCTCCCGTTAGCTGCTGGGTCAATATATTACCCTGCTGAAGAGTCTGTTGCAAAAGACTGGGGTCAATCTGAAAAGAAACAAGTCCAATAGGAATATATTCCATTTTTATTTTCTAACCCTGAGTAGAGTAAAACTATAATACCCAAGCAACAAAAGTTGGCTCATCTCATAGATAATAACAATCTCTGTTCAATCTTACAAAGCTGGATAGTTTTAATGTTTTATGGCAATGTTACATTGGCTTATTTCAAATATCAGCCAACCATTGGCAGGTATTAAATAAAATACAAATTCTGCCAGAAGTTGTATTTTGTGAATCTGAGCCACTTCATTTTCCTTTTTAGCATTAAAACATCTAAATTTTTCATGTCCATTGGCATTCAGCACACTTTTTATTCCATCTGAAGACCTTTTAGAATTTTTTTTTAAGTTGGCCTGTTCAAAGCAAAGTGTCAAGTATTATTTATAAGAAAGGTTCTGAACTCTACAAGAAGGTGATTAACTTTCTTAGAAAATCAAAATGTTGGACAGCTGCAGGTCAAGGGCTTTCTTTTCAGTGCATCATCTCCTGATAAAAACTTTCAAATATAAAATAGGAGAGACACTAGGTCAGAAAGATAACAAGAAACATTCTCAGCAATATGTGTTATGATAAATATGAGTTATTTTTCACATTTATCAATTCAGCTATTGTAAATCCCCCTTTAGAGGGATGCCTATAATCTCTTAAGCATTCAATTTTTTTTTGGGAAATTAGGTATAATTAGGAATCCAAATTCTAAATAAGTGAGCAATAGAAATTATGCAAAGAGAATTACTTGTAGGAAGGAAAGAAAAAACAGCACTTAAAACACTATGTAATCATTAAATGAAAGACCTGGAGATTAAAAGCAAGGGTTTATGGGCATTTGCATATGCATAATTTATTTAACAGCTTCTGAAGGATAATATAGAATAAACCCACCTGTAAAGTAATGTTGTTAATGCTACTAGGATCTATTCCAGAAATTTGAACATTCTGTCCAACCAAGTTGGCAGCAAGTTGCAACTGTATTCCTTCAAGGGTGGCCAAACTACCATCTGTCAAGGATAGAGTTAAATCACCTCCAGCTACCAAAGAAAACAGCCATATTTTATATATATTCCAGTTTTTATATACAAAAGATTAAACATGAATTAATCCTTATTCTACATCAGTGAATTAAGCAAGCTATACTACAATAATTAAAACTGAAAACCTAAAACACTTACTGAGGAATGCCTTGCTGAATAATGAATCTTTCTTTTAAATAAATATGCAATACTGCGTAGTGGTAATACCAATAAAACCATAAAATTGGTACTGTGTATGTTAAAAGGTGCCAAATTGATTAATCCCAATTGATTTTGATGGCAATGAAATCAGAAAGTGTGTGCATTCTATACATACAAATAAATTTAAGTAAGTAGATATACATAAGAATGGGAATGACATAACACAAATACATATATACTAAATGGCTAAAACTATTTGTACCAAAATAATTATTAGCCTTCTATAATATATAATAAATCTACAAGAATTTATGGTTTTCAATAATTTTGCTAGGTATTTTAGCCATGTGATTTACTGCTAATTTTATGAAGCAGCTGATTGAATTTTTAAAATATTTTATCGTTCTCTTCAATTTAATAGTTATTATGTCTTATTTCCAAGATATCGATAATCATATCATAAGGAAAGATAGAAGCCCTGTAATCGTAAGAGTAAAACTGCATTTTTTCCTAATATAACCCAAGCATTTCCCCACAAAAAACCCTGCATGACTTTCAAACACACTTGTAAATCGTAAGTTATAAACTACACAACGATGGAGAGACTTAATTAAATCATCTTTGGAAGCCTCTGTCCAGAGAGCCCAAACAGATGTGACTGTACCAACATCTGTCTTGAAAGTCTCTCTGTCAACATTAATAGGAGCTGTAGAAGAGTTTGATTTTGAACAGCATGAACATTTCTACATCACATTTCTCAAACTGACCCCCCAGGAAAATAGAATGAAACACTTCCAGGTTTACCTGACATAGAAGCAGGAAGGATAGCCTGGCCAACGATACTTTGCTGGAGCAAATTTTGGTCAAACTGGCCTGTCAGCACAGAGTTATTCATGATGAAAACATTAGGATCATTTGTGGATGAATTCAGAAGACTGACTGGCTGTAGGCCTTTGGCTGGAGCACGAGAGCCAGCTTTCCTGGCTTTTTTGGCCTCTGATTTAAAATGGCACTGTATATGAGTCTTCCTGCGACCTGAAGTCCGAAACCTTAACTCACAATGTGGACACTTAAAAGGCTTTGCTCCAGTATGTAGACGCATATGAACTTTCAAACTTCCTTTTGTAGAAAATGAATTACTACATACGTGGCAGCTGAAAAGTTTCTGACCTGGAGAATAATGAATAGTGTACAGCAAAATATACATTATTTCTGATCACATATATATTTATGCTAGATTTTGTTTGGACATTAAACAATCAGCATTCATGTTTTATATTATTTGATAAAAATTTATTTAAACAAGACTTCCTCCTAAACCATAACCTACTCCTAAGTTTTTGAGTTTTTTTGGGGAAAAAATCCTTTTAGATCATAACTAGACAAAGAATGCTAGTATTCCCCAAATATATTGGCTTAACCACCTTTCAGATAAATAAGTGGAGGAAGAAATGAATGTGGGGAGGAAAACCAAACTGTATACTTAAGTATTAAAAGCTAAACTGTTAATTCATTAGAAAGTAAAGTATCTTTCCCAGATTATCCGCCTAAAATACAAAGTACAATATATCTGATGTTTATTCACTATTATCTAATTAAGTTGGAAGTGCTCATGATCTTACATACCTGTGTGTGTTTTTACATGACAGTCCAAAGTCGACTTTACAGTAAAACTTTTTCCACATTCATCACATTTGTAAGGTTTTTCTCCCGTATGGATACGTACGTGCCTAGCCAAAAATATTTGTTCTAATCATTATATTATGTTTATTACATAATATACAATAGCTCTTGTATATATACAATTACAATAGCTAAAAAGTTTCAGTTAGGCTTCATCTTTACTTAGGTTATGGTCTATATTCAACGCAGCCTAAGAACACAATAAAAACTTTTTTTTTCTTTAATTTGCCTACAATATACTGTACTTTCCAAACTTGATTCTGAGTACAGATTAGGAGAGAAATATTGTAAATAAATTGACATGGGTGAAGAAATTTCTATATACAATCCACTTTTCTTCAACTCTGAGAGTCAGTTACCTTATGCTATGTTTTCCTATACAGAATTAAATGACTTTCACCTCCACTACTGGGATGAGAGGGGAGAATTTTTTGTGTTTTATACAGTCTATGTAACCCATATGATATTTTCAGTTGTTCTGATCACCAGGATGTAATATATGTCTAGTTTCACCCCTATTAGGACTCCTCAGATGTACACCTGATGAGTTTCAATAAGGATGAAGCCAATCACATACTGCCTCCTGGTGGTCAACATAACTTTGTAAAATAAACAATAAAGAATTATTTGATGGAAAAATTGTAATCTGAAAAGAAGAGGATGATAAAAATAGTATTTCATAGACCAGTTGTCATATAAGTAGTCAAAACTAGTGCTTTGCTGCAGATGATCACAACTTTTATGTGTACCTATGAGAAAAACATTAAAATCTCAGCTCTCGGGGGGTGCATTTAATCGTATCATTGAATATGAACTCTTCAAAAGTAATAAAACCTATGGCATTTTACTATCACCGCTAAAATCCAAAGAACCTGAGGTAAAAGAGCAATATCTACACTTTACTGCAAAATGCTTTCAAAACTCGGTTTCAGTATGACTAGCTTCTAACTGGAAAATAATGTCATCAAAATATTGAGCATGAAGTTGGTACCGCACTGATAGATGAGACCCTGCCAACGTTGAGAAGTCAGACTATCTTATAGAGTTATTCAGAGATAGTACAAACTAGTTGGTGTGGCGGGTGGTACCTATTTTCTCATTCTTACATGCAGTCTATGATTGGAAAATTGTCTGTCTCTTCCTTTAAATTAAAGATGAAAGAAAGTAAACTGCAAAGTAATATAATTTGTATAGCAAAACTAAAAAAAAAAAATCTACATTCACTTACCTAACTAAGTCACTTGGTTTTTTAAAGCTTTTTGGGCAGTAAGTACAACAATTGGCATATTTTGGCTCAGCCTCCATTTCCGCTTGCTTGTCTTTGATTTCACTAATCCTGTCCTTTTCGGCTGCAGACTGGACGAGAACTTTTTCAGAGACAGTGGCACTTTCCTGAGGTCTAATTTTTGCAAGTTCAGCTGTTTCCTCCTCAGTGAATGTGATAACACCCGGCCTAGATTTTCGAGAGCTTGTCTTTTCAGATGTTGCCTCTTCTTCGTCTGCATCATTAAATAGGGAAGGAACATTTTTAAAGACCTAGTAATGTCAAAGAAACTTCATGGATGTTAATGCAAAATCCAGTTATTTGTAGCAATTGCACAAAAGTATAAATTAAAGGGCATTAGAAATGTATCTTCAAAGCCACTACATGTTCTATGTCAACTAAGAACACAATACTGTGATGCATGTTCTCTTTCAGATTATAAAACTTATACAATTCCAGACAAAGAAAGTCCTACATTTTTTATGCTAAAGAACATTTATTGCTAATTCTCAATTTATCAGTACAATTGGGGCCAGAATCTTTTTGGACAAAATGTTTGCTAAGTGAGATGCCCACCACTGCTTTGCTCAATGACTGTAATGGAACTCTAGGTTGTGATTGTTACGTGATCTCCAGGTTATTAAAAGAGACAGAACAAAAGATCTGCCTGCTGAGATCCTCCTGATAGCCCACCAAGGGCTTTCCTTCGCTTCTGTGCACAAAGGATTTCAGTTCCACTCTCCCCCCACATCCCCTTGCAACCTTCTCTGCTGGCTTCCCCACTGACTTTCTGGGGAAGCCAGCAGAGAAAATTGCAAATGGCAATCACATGATCACAGGGTGTTGGCAACTGGCTATAAATGTGAGCCAATTGAAAATATAGTCATGTGACAGGGAGGAGGAGATCCAATATTTTACAATAGCCCGAAATGCTTTATGAGCTATAGAGCACACTTTCCGAGACTTTGAATGCTAGTTAAACAACCAGTCATAAGTGGAGGCTAATTGTAATATGCTTTTCTGCTACACAGAGAAAGTTGCTTACCCCCTCCTGCTACCTCTCCACCTGTTGCTGCTGTTGAAGATACTGTTTGATGCTTTTTCATATGTTTTTTGCAGTGAACTGTGGTTCTGAAGCTTTCATCACAAAATGGGCACTTGTAGGGCTTCATACTCATATGAGTTGTCATATGTCTCGTAAGGCTTCCATTAGTGGTGAAGGAAGTATTACAAATACTGCAACTGAATGCTTTAACTCCTGGGGGGAAAAACAGAGGAAAGTAAATAGAAATGGGAAGTAGTGGTTGTATAATTTGTCTATACCTCAAAAATGATACAAAAATTATACAAAACAAAAGCAAATGTGAAAACATATTCTGATGACTTCCACTTAGTTCCACAGATGTATTTATTTTTTATTTATTCACTACATTTTCATCTACATTCAGCTGCAATATAAAGTTACTCCTCTCTTACAAAAATATTGAAAACAATCCTATGAAATTCGTGTCATAAAGACTGACTTGTTCTGTCACGAAATGAGCTTCATGGCTGAGTGAGAATTTCAAATGATTTTGTAACTGGTAACTTTGAATTCTGTTAATTAAATGGAATCTCCATGATCAAAGCGATATACATTCCACTTTCTGAAAATGGTCACAATCGCCTACATCTATTTTTATTTGGATTGCACAGCAGCTTTCAATAAATTATTATTGACATGGTGAATGGAAGATGAATTAAATACAGATAGTCCTTTGCATTGTGCCAGTTCATTTAGTGACCATTCAAAGTTACGACAGTGAAAAAAGTGACTAATGAACAATTAGAACTAGAACCGGTACTCTTCCTATTGGAGATCTTTAAAAAAAAGTATGTAAAGAGTATAAAATATTTACTATTACACATATTAACTGCTGCCAGGATTGCCTTTGCTCAATGTTGGAAACAGCCATGCATACCCTCAGAGAAACTTGTTATACAAAAAATTATGAACTGCGCAGAAATGGACAAATTAACGTTGAGCTTAAAAGATAAAGAGACATTGATATTTTATAAGGTGTGGGAACAATGGTATAACTGGATAGAACGGAGATAGATTAAAGATAGATAGCTATTAACCATAAGTAATAGATAAAATAAGAATGTAATTATGCATAATTTAATATCTGTAAATAAGTTTGATATGGGTAAAGGAATGGATAACATTAAGGAACAGTATATTATTGACTTTAGAAGGACACGACTTGCTGCTGGGATGGCATGCCTTTCTCTGGTATAAGGGAATTAAAACACAGGGGTAATTTAGAAGATATTATATTCGTGAGGCATTGTTTTTGAGCTGGGAGAAGATTATAAGACAGTATTACTTAAAAATTCCAACATGAATATCAACTATTGAAGCTTTTTCTTATCCAGCAATATATAAAAAGGAACAAACAATTAGATATGGGGAGTTATTGAATGAAAAGGGTGAACTTAAATCTATGCAAACGTTGCAAGAATAAGGTGTAAAAATGAATTGGTTTTCTTATTTGCAAATACAATCTAGGTTTGATAAAGACTCTAAAGCAGAAGGTATTTATGATAAGTTGACTGACTTAGATAAAATTTTGATGGGTACTGATGAAAAGGTAGTTAAAAACTTTATGGATATCTATTAGAATTTAAATTGGAGGAGGAGCAAGTTAAAGAAACGATGATTGCTTGGGGGTAAAATTTTGAATATGGGATTGATTTGGAAAAATGGCAAAAATTGTGGTCTCAAAATTACAAAATGACAATGTCAACTGCACATAAAGAAAATTTGTATAAGATGTTTTACAGGTGGCACCTATCCCCGACGAGACTTGCGAGAATGTTTAAGAATAAATCGGATAAATGCTGGCAATGTCATCAGATACCTGGTTCATATTATCATATGTGGTGGACATGTTCAGACACAAAGAAATATTGGACTAAAATCCACACATGGTTGAAAAAAATGATAAAACAGCATATAGACTTTAAACCAAAGATCTTTTTATTGGGAGTCATACCAGTCATATATAATAAAGAACTGAAATATTTTATTGTAAATGTCTTAACATTAGCCAGAATTGTATTTGCGAAGAACTGGAAAAATGACAAAATACCTATTCAGGAGGAAGTTATAAAATAATTATGGACTGTGCCAAAATGAGTAAACTGACATTTGAAATTAGAGAACAAGAAGATAAGCAATTTTATATGATATGGGATTTGTTTTATCAATGGTTAGATAAGCATGGTAATATAATAGACTAGATAATTTTATGATAGAAATCTAATAGATTGATATAAAACATAATACAGATATATATAACCACTGGTTGAAAGTATAACATAAATTTTAAGATAAAATGTGGAACACCTCGTATAAAACGATGGAATAAATAGTTTAGTCATGGATGATTAGTAAGTGAAAAATATATAAACATATGTTAGTTTGACAATGTGAAGATATAAATTGTGAGTAAATGATGACAAAAGTATAGCACAAAAGATATGTAACCAACTGACACACTGTATGTACATAAAATGGAAGAGGATTTTAGGTTTTTAGGTTTTTGTATGTGTATGTTTGTGTTTAAAAATAAAAAACTTTATCTAAAAATATTGAAGAATTGCTAATGAATAGAAAAATAAAAATACGTAATGCTATAATATCTGTAAATAATGTATGAATTAGTGTCATAAGAGAATCACTACAAATTGTTGTTGAGTGATATTTTTTTGATGTTTTTAATGTAATAAAAGGAAAAAAAAGGAAAATGAAGGAATTTAAGATAAGCAATTTATAGATTAAATGTATATACTTGCACAAATTATATATGTTTGTAAATATGCACAAAAGATAGGAATGTATGAGATTGATGTCATACAACTGTTAATGTAATGATTATCTTTTTGTTTTTAAAAGACATAAAACACTAATAAAGTTTATTAAAAGAAAAAGAAAAAAGTGACCTATGGCCATTTTTCACACTTACAACTGTTAAAGCATCTCCATGGTTATATGATCAAAATTCAGATGCTTAGCAACTGACTCATGTTTATGATGGTCACAGTGTCCCAGCATCGTGAGATCACTGCTTGTAACCTTCTGACAAGCAAAATCAATGGGGAAGCCAGATTCACTTAACAGCTGCAGTGATTCACTTAACAATGATGGCAAGAAATGGGGCAAAGCTCACTTAACAACTGTCTCAATTAGCAACAGAAATGTTGGGGTCAATTATGGTCCTAAGTCGAGGACTACCTGTATCTCTGGGCTTGAATCCCATTGTACTGTCCATTTTAAATAAGCCAAAAAGATTTGCAAGGAAACCAAAGATTACCAAAATTTCATCACCTGTATGTGTTTTCTCATGAGATTTAAGAACTCCGGAAGAGACAAATCCCCGGCCGCACAGTTGGCACTTATAAGGCTTCTCCCCAGTGTGTGAACGGACGTGCTGCTTCAAGTGGCTAGATTTCTTGAACCCCTTATTGCAATACTCACACCTATTAAAATGAAAGTTTACATTGAATAAAATGAAACAAAGGCATTGATGAATACCTTGGAACATGTGAAAACTTTAATTCTGGTTTAATGCCAGCAAAACTTACGTATAACTACCTTTTGAAATATGACATACCTGTAAGATCTTTTGCTTTGATCATCGTTATCTTCCAGAAACTGGGAACGCTGCGCATGCATCTCAAGGTCTGATGACTGATCTTGAACTAACCGGGTAGCCTGGTTATCAATACATTAAAATAAAGCCTTTAAATATATAATGGATAATAACCTCCGTTTTGGCCCATAAGGCCGTGGTGTCAAACTGGCGGCCCACTGGCCGGATGTGACACACACAGGCCATGCCCACCCCAGATCTGCAAAGGGAAAAAAATGTCATGATACATCACGTGACGGCAACGTAACATGGTGAGTGCGACACCCTTGCTATAAGGGTAGAAGATTTAAAGCAGCGGTCCCCAAACTTGGCAACTTTTAAGACTTGTGGACTTCAACTCCCAGAATTCCTTGAGGAATTCTGGGAGTTGCAAGTCCACAAGTCCTAAAGTTGCCAAGTTTGGAGACCTCTGATTTAAAGAGTAGAAATTTAAACCCAAGTGATTCCAAAATGCCATAATCTGATTCTCAGTAAAGATTATTTCTTTGATTTAAATAAATGTTATTTTTTTATTTAAATAAATGTTAATTTTGGACAGAGAGAAAGTAGTCACATATAGGTTGCTTTTCTATCAAAATACATTTTCAAGATGGCTAATTATACAATATAGAACATATGATCAAAACATAAAAGGAAATAAAAGGGATCTATGAAAAAAGTATTAACATTTACTTTACCAGTGAGTCAATCTAAAAATCAAGATGTATCTGAAAAAAGTATGAAGATACAACTGAAAGTCAATTCTAGCATCTGAGTTCCAAATATAGATTTCCAGCATTTGGCAGAAGCAACTGAAAAGGCCTGATGTAGCATGGTTTATGGCAAAAGTATTTTTAAAATATCCTATTTACAGGTTTTCACCTATGATCATAACAGGGCTTAGATTTGTAACCAGTAAAGTTGCAAGAAAGTAGTGGTAACCTTATTTATAACTGGCTCTGATGAAGAATTTCACTGCAATATAATGTAGGAAATCATCCAAATGAGATGAATTTAGCAGAGATCTGATACAAAACAAGTAATTACAACTGGTACCTTAACTTTAGTTATACAAAATAATAGACATTACTAAAATATGATCATGAAGAAGGCAGTTTTTGACACTAGAATAACTAATTCTTCAAAGGGACAATAAATCCACTCAAATAATTCCTAACATATATCTGCCTTTTGACTGAAGTCTTATCCACATTAAGCTTCTATTAGTTCTCCATTACCAAGCCAATCCATCTAAATCAGCAATTATATTCAGCACAATCTTCTGAAATTGGATCCAAAGATCTAATTGGATTTGCATCTTGCCAAAAAGATCCCTCTGAGGTCCTTCCCAACTAGACATACTATGGCTCTCTTTTTAAATACTAAAGTTCAAAAAATGAATTCTTTCACTTCCTGATGCTGATCATCCATCAAAGCTATCGCTGTCTTATTATTAGCCTTGAAGTCACATAAAAAACAGATCTAAATCTCATCTAAAATCTCATCCAGAACCCCAAATCAGAAACAGCATAGTTTCTTCAATCTTTTAATAAATACTTACTACATTGATAGTGTCGGGGGCAGGAACCTGAAGTAGACTTGGTTGATGGTAGCTTGTTGAAAGAGCCTGAGATTCAAGAGTGCTTGAATCCTGAAGCTGCTGTACTGCTGGAAACTGACTTGGTTGACTGTAGCCATCATTAACTGTAAAACCTGGTACAAATACAAATGAATAAAAGAACCCCCTATTTTTGTAACACAAACACACCTAAAACAAAAAAAATAACCATTTACAACTCAGGTTTTGCTAACTAAATGAGCTCTTCAGCATGTTTCATATAAAATGGCCTCTTGAAGTCAGCAAATAAGAATGTAAGAAAAATCCCTTTCCAGATCTCTGGGACAGATCCAAGGTTGATTGCACTGGCCAATGATCCTTCACTTGTCCTTTCCTGGCAAGATTGTGAGATATTGTTTCAAAGTTTATGTAAGTGATATCACCATAGTATCATATTTTAAAACCCTAACACATCACCATCTGGATATAATGGTACAGCTGAATAATGTTAGTGATCCTGATAGCATTAGTATTAGCTAATCCATACATGTATTAGCTTCCATTAGGATTACCTTCAACAATAAAATCAAAAGGTGAAGCTTAGGATAATTAAGGTAAGTGTAGGTATGATTCTATAGAAATGAGGGAAGACAGCCCATCTAGGAAAAAGGAAACCAGAAGAAAACAATGACAAACTATTTACTGCTGACAAGAAAAAGTATATAAACATTGTTCCAACATGCTCGTGTGGCAGATGATGACACATTTTCCCCAGTACAGACTGGCCTTCTCTTTAAATATAGAAAGCCAAATCAAAACTGCAAGATTGGTTACATATTGTATCAATCCTGAAAGAGGAACTCCTTATTCCCCCCCCCCCCTTCTATTCAATTGTGTCCAATTATCAGAGGCTGACTGTACAATTCTCTGCAGTTTCTTCGGCAAGTTTCTTTTTTAGAAGTTATTTTTGTCATTGTTTCCTTTCTGGGGCTGAGAGAAAGTGACTAACACAATGTCACTCAGCTGGCTTTGTGCCAAAAGCAAGGCTAGAACTCACAGTATCCAGGTTTCTAGCCTGATGCCTTAATTGCTACACCAAACTGGCTTTCACAGTAATAATCCTGAAAGAGGAATTCCTTACTTAGAAGAATACATATAACTGGAACATAGAATGTAAGATGCATGAAAGAAGAGAAATTTGGAATTATGAAGTAGGAAATCAAGCTTGCTAAATTTAAAGCTTTAGAAAGAAGTTAACATAGATAGGCCTCTTTCCAAAGCATGAGACTATATGAAAATATGGAATGACAATGATATTAAAAAAGCCCGTCACATGTATGATTTGATATAACTCAATACATATCAGGATCAAATCAGAAATGAACATGTAGCAAGTTAAAATCAATTTTATGTAAAGGTAGTCATTTATTAGTGGCTACTTAGTGGTGAAAGATAATGAAGAATATATTTGGACTGTCTAACCTTGGCAAAATTGTTCTGTGGATAGCAATCGAGAGATCACTGGAATGTCTTTGGAATAGCTATGGATTATCGCTAAACAAAGCATGATATAGAGAACCTGTATGGTCATGTCAACTTAATGTCATCTAACCAACCCTACATATTGCTATGGAAAAACAGGGATCCATAAAATCAGCAATATCTAATGAAGAACTAATAATAATGGCTATGGAAAAATAGAAACTATATTCTATTTTTCCGAACCTAGAAGAAAAGAACAAATGTGGAAACATTCTAAGAATTTACTAAATAGCCAAAGTTAAGATCACTTACCTTTCATTTTCCTTCTTTTTTACAGTAATCTCCACAGAACATAAATTGAAGTTTCCTTTAACTCAGAGCCATTCAAATTTTGAATTTATGTACACATGCATGTGTCTAAGAGGTTGACCCGGTATCCTTTATCTTCCTTACCACCCACCAAATAAAGCAGGAACAAAAATGAACATAAGGGTGTGCCCTAATCTAAGGAAAAAATAATCACACAACAATTCTTCTCAAATTGAATCTTCAACCTAGAGCATTGTTCCTTCTTTTAAATGAATTTACAAGTGCAACACTGCACACTGAAAAGCACTCTCTCTTTGAAGTCACTGTTTCCCTGTTACTGCTTCCTTTTCTTAGAAAGAACAGAGTTCCATTAAAAATCGGAAAGAACTGTGAAAATGCAGTGAAGGGAGGATGCAAAAACCTTCTATATTTACTTGTTACAAAATCTATTGCTACCATTGACCTGGAAGTCTTTAAAGCAGATTGGAAAATTATTTGTTTAGTGTTATTATATGGCAGCTGAATCTGAGGGAGTTTTTATTATTCACAATAGGCTAATTTGAACGATGAAATCTTGGCTGCATAAACCAAGATAGGTATGAGTTTTATGTGTACAACCTTTTAATCCCTTTCTGCTTGTCAGATTTATTGAAAAACCAGTCAGGAAGCCTCCCATTGGTTCAAACAGGGGAAATTGTGGTTAACAAATTCTTGTATCAGGATATGAAATCCATCTTTAAAGCAGATTTAAAAATAACTACATTTAGAAATAATGAATGTGTCAGGGTTCCAAAACAATGCCCAATTTAGATAAGAATCACAATGAGTGGTTCCCAGACTGTTAATTGTTACAACTACTGTAGTAGTTGTACCAAAGTAGTAGTATGACCATGTCAGACAAAATAAAAGTAAAACACAAGGTCTATTTTAAAGATAAAATAGATAGGAGAAAATAATAAAATACATACGTATTAAATACAAAAAAATGAACTTTGGGATAAATACATAGCCTTTACATAAAATCCAGATCTCTTCATATAATGGATTTTTAGCTGAACTGCCTAGTGTTAGCCATTCTGCTCACAATTTATATATTATAGTCAAATAAAGCAAGCTACGATTTGGGTCTCAGTGGAATGTTGTTTCAAATAGGGATTTTAAATATCAAAGCCTAAAGTGTGTATAGAGTTGATAACTGAACAAAACATTATCTTTGATGGCTGGGGTAGATATAGATATCCTTTCATGATGTAACAAGTGATGAAGCACTCATACTTAGCCATGGAATCCAGCAACTCAACTCTTACTTTAGGATAGACCTTGTTAGGAATTACATGAAACTCATTATTTTTCACTTTGGAAATTGGTTTTGTTTTTAGCCAACCAATCTAAAGAGCTCCCTCTCCCCCCAATACCTGCATGTTGGGCACTATCTAAGACTCTTTAAAAATTTCCTTTGCTTAGAAGATGGTTGAGAGTAAATATTTAATGGAAAATCCATGCTGTAAAATTAATTTTGGTAGATCAACTTACCCAGGAGGTAGACCAGGGGTGGGTTTCTACCGGTTCTGTCCACCTCTGTAGAACTGGTAGCTCTGAAGAGCAGCAGACATAGAACTGGTTCTATGTCTGCTGCTGTTTTTGCCCACCCGCCCACCTGGGCTCTTACTTGACCTTTATTTCCTGATTTTTTTCAACTTCAGCTGCCATGCAAGGCACAGCCGCAATTAAAAAAGCAGGAAAAAGGGGCTTTTTGAAAGGCTGCTTCTCTGCACACGGCTGATGACGATTTACAGGCAGCGTGCAGGGAAGCACATCGTAAATCATCAAACCTCATAAATGACCGAACTGGTAGTTAACCTTGTCGGATCCCACCCCTGAGGTAGACTGAGTTATCTGTTCAGCTAATGCTTGCATATAATATTAAACCAGAAATTTTGAACTATGTTTTATTGAAAAAGTCATAGTGATCAAGTTAATATTAAACTATAATGGTTGGGTTTGCTAAACTGACAAACCACAATCTGGATTAATGTCCTATATAAATCAAGTGGCAAACAAAATTGAGTACATTAAATGTATATTTATATCCTGGTTTATTAAGCCATTGTACAATAGACCAAATTTAACAGTATGGTAAATAATAGGGTCCACAATTAGTGTGAGTTGTTTAATTATTGTTCTATATAGAGAATAATACTGCAAACAGCGAGAAGTTGATTTTGTTCACGTCTAAAAATCAATTGTTTAAAAGAGAAAAAGATCTGCAATTTAATTCTTAGTATTCATGGAAGAGATAAAAAGATTCCATCCTGTGTGCTCTGACAATTATTTTATTTTAAAATAACTTATATATTTCAGCACTTGTATTCATACAAAAATAGTTCCCAGAACTAAAGAATCTCCTGCATATAAAACAGAAAATGCAATAATTCTCCAAACAAAACTATGTAATGAAAAATATTAACGAAAGAGCCTTAATAATATTTAAAGAAATTGAAATTGATACTATTTTATATGTATGCATCATAAAGATGAGATATGGGTCAAACCTTTAAGCTGTTAAGATTTCTATTAACTCTTCCTTTATTTTAATGGAATTGTATCACATTTAGATTTGATTAACAGAACTGAACTGAAAGGCTTACTGTAGTGAGAAAATATATTCTAACTCTGAAAGGTGCAAAAAGAATCTCTCAAAAGGTTATAATGGAACAATCATAGTTAGAACAGAAGTTGTTTTTATTATTCTGCTCCCTTTTTCCTCCACAAACAGTTCCTCACATCACATATGTGTTATTTCTGAGTTTTGCCCTTATGGATCTAAAAGAAGGAACAACTATGGGCATGTAAAGAACTGTGGGAACAGCAGGAGAAAGTGCCAACTTGAGCCGTCATCTAATAACAGAGCAGGTAATATTTCTCCTATGGAATCAACGAGTTTAACAATAATGTTTTCTATCAGAACAAAGAAGTAAAGAGACAATGACCTGAACTGAATTTTCCTCTCTGACTAGTAGGAAAATGGGGAAGAATGAAACACATATCCAGACAAAGGGATAGGGTCCACCATTTTAAACACATGTGTCCGTACACACCGACCTGAAATTCAGAATTTCTAAAGGGCTCCAGGAACTTCAAGGAAACTCCAAAGTATGAAAAATCTGTAGAGGGTATTCCAAGTTGAATAGGAATTGTGTACAATATAGACTTTTAATTATTCCTTCTCTAGCCATTCTTAAGTATTTACATTTTAAGGTCCTTGATCAAATATAGTATTTTTAAAGCAAAAACTGCACCAATGATTCAGTATGCATTCTCATTCTAAATACAAAAAACTGGATGCAGTTTCTATTTTATGCACATTTATTGCTGCTGAAGATCAGTCTAGCTCCAGACCCCAGCTCAACCTATTTCAGTGTACATAAAGACTAAAAATCTTTAGAAGACTACTGGGAGGGGGAGAGAAAAGAAGAGGGGAAATATAAGAAATTACCATGTTGGAAGCTTCTATTATGATCCTAGCTTTTTCTGAGAACAGGAAGAGAATTTTCATCTGCAAAGGATTACCTTTGAATGGAACTTATGGAAGATAAAATTTAAGGTTCACAGATTAGCAATTTTAAAAAAATAACTGGACTTTAGCCTCTAGCAATGCAACTGCATGAGTTCTTACTGCCTTCTATAAATGACATTTTGAAATAAATTGCTCATGAAGCTTTCAAGTCCAACAAAAATACCATTTGACACCATTAAAATGACTATCTTTACCAACCTTGTGATAATCCTTGCTGATCAAATGATTGCTGTACTATAGTTTCCTGCTCAAACTGGTTTATATTTTCTTGCAGTGCATGCTGGGATGTCACAAATCTATCTGAAATTAAATATATATATTTGAAAAGGAAATGACATTAAGTAATTCAGCAGTTGCTGTGGAAGCTGTTTAACAAAAAAGAAATCCTTGATTTAACAGACTAATGACAAAAAGCAAAATGTCTGTTAAATCCAAGTGATTTTATCCATGCATAGTGACACACATGGTTAGAATGGCGAACAATATTTCATAGAAATATACACTGTATAGACAAACATTACCCTTGCAATGTGCATTTTACATCAATCTAAAGATACCTACATAGGAGAAATTCTGTTTGTTGCTTCCAAAAGTTCACAAATAAAATCCATTAAATTGAGGGTTACTTTAACTGGAAAAAGATGATGAGTAAAACAGGAAATTATAAAAGTCTAATTATTTTCTACTTTGATATTTTAAAAACTCTGCCATTTAACTATTACTTACATTTTATTTATCATCAAAATATCTTTGAATTGTCAAAAAAGTACTCCTAAGGAAAGAAATTCCAAATTTGGAATTTGGAAATTTAATATATACTTATTCCTTTTCTTAGGAAAAACCTTGATCCAGGCAATACTTAATTAACACCTTGGCTCAGGGGTGTCAAACTGGTGGCCCACGGGGCAAATGCACCACACATAGGCCACACTCATCCCAGCTCCGCGAAGGGAAAAAAAAATCACAAAATGTCACATGACAGCAACGTGATGCCATGAGTTTGACACCCACATCTTAGCTCACTGATATCCCCCTTAGTGATACAACCCTGTAGATTTTAATCCTGTAATCAGTACACTCGGTAATTTACCTTCCTCTTGACCTAATGATTGATCAGTCAATTGTGGTCTGAGTTCAGCTTCTTCAGTGTCAACAACCTGCTGCTGTTCTAAATCTAAAATAGCTTCCTGATCTGTTGCAACAGCTTCAGTTTGCTGCAACTCTTCACTTTCAATTTCCACTTGCATTTGAGTAGAAACATGTATATTCTGCTGATCTACAGCTGTGTCATCAATGGAAGCAGCTTGCTGATGTTGCTGAAGCTGCTGGGCAAGCTCATACCTAGAAGAAAAGGAAGAAACATCTTTTGCAATGTCAACACATTAGCACTTTGGATGCCTTATGTGAAGATACAGGTCTCTAAAGAAGACTCTAATACTGGGAAAGATGGAAGGAAGGTCAACCAAAGGTGGATGGACTCTGTCACAGCAGCAATAGGTAAACTGCTGAAAGACCTGAAGGATTAGGTTAGGGACAAATCATGGAGAAAATCTATTTATAAGGTTCCCAAGAACTGACACAAACTTGATGTAGTATAATCAATCGCTCAATATATCTAATTTGAGCTACTTCCTGAATTCCTCCAATCTGCCCACATTTCTACTTCTGCTACACTATAAACTTGAAAGTACTAAATACTTATGATTCTTGACTCTTGACGAATGTATCTTTTCTTTTATGTACACTGAGAGCATTTGCACCAAGACAAATTCCTTGTGTGTCCAATCACACTTGGCCAATAAAGAATTCTAACAATCTTCTAAATACTAAATAGAATGAAGCTAAGAGAAACTAATATATTTAACTACTTATATTATTCCCACAATAAATATATTTAAAAATCAAGTGATAATGAGACTTTTTGCTTTTTCTCAGTCTGTATTTTCACTTTTAAACCAATCTACTCATTAAAATAGTTGTTTGTAATTCAACCTAGGTTCCCAGTCTCTGGGGAAAAAAAGTTCTTTCAACAACTTGAATTTACTGACAGGTCCTACAGAATTTCAAAAGAGCAAAGTGTAACAACTGGAATGAATTATAATTCAGGACTGAATTTCAAGATAAACAAACCTGTGCGTTTTCATATGTTTTTTGCAATTTAATGAGGTTTTGAATGTTTTCTGACAATAGGGACACATATAGGGCCGAAGGTCATTGTGGATGCCCATGTGCCTCCGCAGACTGCCTCCAGTGGTGAAAGCTCCATTGCATATAAGACACTTGAATGCTTTTAATCCAGTGTGGGTTCGAATATGCGCTTTTAGCACTCCGGCTGATACAAAGCCTCTTCCACACTGAGAACATTTGAATGGTTTTTCACCAGTGTGTGATCTTTGAAACAAATCAAAGAAAAAAGTCAGAGGAAAAGATAGGGAAATAAATACTAAATAAGCAGCAATTAAAAGAGAAAAAGAGAGACATGAATAAGTTATCAGAAATGTCACCTGCAACAATCCCCTGTTCAAATTCCTACTCCATTCTCTTTCCTCTTTTTTCTTCTCCTGTTAACTCCAAATTGGGACTTATCACCAATTATGCTAAGCGATCACCAGAGAAATTTCAAGTCCTTGCCCGTGGTTTCTCTTTTGATTTTACTATTCTTTTGTATATTCCTGAAGTTCAGTTAATTGAGGACTACCCTTCTTTGCAATGACATGTCTTTGAATACAATGAATTTCACAGGTGCAGCAGAATTTGTCATCTTTGGCAGAGATAACACATTTTCTATAGCGAGATAAGAGGCTTTCTGTTTTGAAATATTTTCCATTCTTAAATTCTTCTAGTTCACAAATATGTCTAGATTTTCCTTGCACGCTGCCTGTTTTAGACCTCTTCACAGAGGTGTAACAACATTCAAGTCTGGGAATTATAAAGTCCACCCAAAACATATCTTTTTCTGTAAGTGTGTGTGTATGTGTGTGTGTGTGTGTGTGTGTGTATGTATGTATGTATGTATATGTATATGTGTGTGTGTGCGTACACATATACACATACACACACACACACATATACTTATACATACATACATACATACATATATATATCAGATGAGATTTTGCTGAAAGATTGCTACAACTTTAAAAGCACAACTATAATGACGTGGGAAA